GAGGACTTCTCTCTCTTGGTAAGTTTCCAAGCAAGTCAGGACTTGGAACAACAATGGAACCAGGGTGGAAGAGGTACAGGTAACCCCACCTTGCCCAGTCCTGCCTGAAGGCATCAATCCCAACAGCCTTGCAGTCGGGGAAGGGCGCCACGTATACTGGGAGACACCTCAACCACGCCGACACAAACAGGTCCACTTCCTGAGGCCCGAACGTCCGGCAGAGCCAACGGAACGAGTCGGCGTCGATAGTCCATTCCGTGGAGAGGGGAATGAACTGGGACAGGCCATCCACCAGGACATTGAACATCCTCCAAACGTGAACTGCCAGGAAAGCCAAACCCCGAGAACTCATCAGATGAGTCACCCGAAGCAATCAGTCCCAAAGAGCCAAGGAACGCATCGAATCCCAGCGGTTCAGGCAATGAACCACCGGGAAACAGTTTGAATGGAGCCAGACCATCGATCCGTGAAAGACCAGAATCATCCAGAGCGACATCCACATAGCTGCGAACTCCCGCACCGTGCTGTGAGCCCGACGGAGGGACGGAACCAAATGCCCCTGGCTGGCCTGGCGAGCACTAGTCACAAAGCCCCAGCCAAGAGACGACGAGTCCGTGAATACATCGAGCGAGGGCTCTGGTAGGTGCCAAGGCACTGAATCCTGAAAAACTCGAAGAGGAAGCCGGCAACGCAGCAACCAATGCAAGGCCCCAGAGGCAAACCCAGCAGTTATGAGAGAGGTGGAAGGGACGTCCCCGAAGGAAATAGAACAGCCAATGAAGCCACACCTGACCAGGTGGGTTCCAATCAAGGCAAAGTGCAGGCTCCCACACAAACTCTTGAGCAACTGCTGCGTTACCTGGGAGCCCCTCAGAAACAGATGAAGGTGGGAACGCAGACAAAGCAGAGCCGCCGGAGGAAGAGACATGGAAGCAGTCCGAGCGTCCCACACAAGACCCAGCTAAGATCGAACCTGAGAGGGAACCAGATGTGACTTCCACCAGTTCACCAAGAACCCAAACCCGGCGAACTAGGAAAGAACCAAAATCCCTGGCGAGCAGACACGCGGACAGGCTGGGAGCCCAAACCAGGCAGTCGTCGAGGTAGGCCAGAACCCGAACACCTAACAGACGCAGGCGGGCCACAACGACCCAAGTAAGGCAAGTGAAAATGCGAGGCGCCAGATTCAAGCCGAATGGAAGGCAACGAATGCGGTAACCTTGATGTCCCACCACAAAACCAAGCCAGTCCCAGAACCGCGGATGAATCGAGACGTGCCAATACACGTCCTGGAGGTCCAGGGACACCATCCAAGTGCCCGGCTCCAACAGAAGCCGGGCAGCCTCCGCAAGGACAAGACCGGCAAGACAAGTCCAGAATGAACCGGAGGTCCGCACAGTCCCGTTCTGGGACCGGAAACAGGGGGGAGATCCACCTAAGTGAGGATGATGTTTCAACCACGCCCAAGCAAACCCACTCTGAGACGACTTGACAGAGAGCAGGAGAAGAGGCCTGCCCTGCAAGCCCCAGAACCCACCCCAAAAGAGGAGGAGCCACCCAACACCACCACAGGCTGCACGAAATGACCTGAAAGGCCCATGAATCTTGGGACCAGGCACGAGTAAACAGAGCGAGCCTCCTCCCACCACCCTGTCAATGGGATGAACTGCGAAAGGGCCGATGTTCCTTATGAGCACCCAAAAATTGCAAAGAGCGATCCCCGCACCCAACAGAAACAGACGGCACCGAAGGCAGTGCCGGCTCCAAACCTTGCATCTGTGACCTACCCCAACGAGCAGAACCCCAAGTCCTGGCACGACCCTTCTGGAAGGAACCCTCCCAGGACCCCCGGAGAACCAACAAGTTGGACATCGGACGATAGCTGGAAGAAGCCGCCTGCAAATACCGCTCAACCGCAGAATCCGCAAACAGCAAGGGACAAAAAGGTGAAGACAACTAAGAGCCAGGGCCCAACAGATTCCAAGGTGAGCACACCCTGCTGACACGCGAGACGTGCAGTGAAAAAACGCAGCACCGCATCCCTCAAGATGCGGTGTTACCCCACTCATTGTAACAGAAAGTCCCGCTCAGAGAGTTGGAGAACCCAGGTGGGGTCCAACAGGGCCCAAGGCCTCCAAAGTCAGCTCCTCCCCAACCCCAGGAACCTCCACATTAGGCCCCGGGGGGCGAGTCAACCTCCAAAGCCCTGGCCTCACAAGAAACAGCTGAGGCGGCCAGAAAAGCCAGAAGAGAATGGACCCACTGGTCAGACCCCGGAGCCACAGCTAGAGGAATGGACTCGAATGCCTCTGTTACCACACCGGAAGGGGCAACAGCTGAAACTGCCCGAGTCTCAGAAACCTTTAAACCCTGCCCCCGACTCCGAAGCCCTCAGACACTTCGGACCTGGGAACAAGGGAAGGGGGAAAGGGGGGGACAGAATGAACCACAGCAGGGGAAGAACGAGGGGGTGTGGACTGAATCAAGGCCAAAGCGACCAACCTCCCCAAGTCTGGGTCCCTATAAGCAAAGCGGGGCATCCGGGGAAGCAACCAACCTACCTGCTTGATACCTGCTTGATGGGGTTCTGGGAGTTCTTCTACTCCCAAGCCCGGCCCGAGGCCAGGCTTGACTTGTGAGAGTTTGGTCCACCAAGCTATTGCTAGGAGCGGCCGGCAGGCCCACATACTCATCACAGCCCAGTTGGTCGGGCACTCCTTGAAGAAAACAATTAGTTTTCTCTTGAAGATGTCTACGGTTGTTCTGGCAATATTTCTGATGCTCGCTGGGAGGACGTTGAACAACCGCGGACCTCTGATGTTTATACAGTGTTCTCTGAGTGTGCTTATGGCACCTCTGCTCTTCACTGGTTCTATTCTGCATTTAACCTTGCACATTGCAGCAACCTATACCTAGCATGCAATGCCTGAGCTGCCTGCCACCCGGGGGCCAAGCAGGGGGGAACCACCGAACACCGGAGGTCAAGACCCTAATATAACTGAGGGCAAGGAACAAATACAAGGCAGAGCTTCCCCCCCCCCCCCACCAGGCAGAAACAAAAAGAAAAAAACGCAAGAGGACAATGTACCCAGGAGGAACAGAGCCGGCCGCTGTAATAGGTGAAAACTTGCTGCTCAGTATCCCGTGCTCCTACTAGTGCAAAAACTATCACTTACCCCAAGGTAAACAAGGGAGGAAAACCTCCCAACGCACTTGAGGCGGCCAATCACCGAGCAGCAAAAGACCAACAGAAGTAGACCTGAAGGTGATGTTACGGACCCGAGTCCAGCGTCGTAGCACAGAGCAGTGACGACAACGCCATCTGTGAGTCCGCTCCCGAAACCCACTCCAAAAGGACAACGCCATCTAGTGAGGACGGGATATACCGGCCACAGGTGCTGGATTCCCGTCTTAATCAGCTCGTAACATAGCCGCTGCTGACCTCTGGTGAGGTGGCGCTTAGACAGCAACACCATCTATGGAGTGGATAGGTGGACGTTTGTGTCTAAGCCTGTAAGTGAGGTTCCCTAGTCCCAGTACTAATGACGTGTCTGATTACAGAGTCGACCTGGGACTGCTGTAATGGACGATGGATCAGTCTACCCAAGGCAGCCAAGGTCTCTCCACGAGTTTGCTCTAAAGAAGCTGTGAGTCACCCCCGGACGGACTCTGCTGAGAGTATTAGCCTGCCTGTGACGTAGCAGTGTCGAGGAATCGCCTTATCCGGGGCTGGCTGGTGGAAGAGACTAGCCACTGTGGTGTTTAGAGAGGAGAGTGATCAGCGGGATCACACGAGGCTCCTGCCTAGGGCTCGCAACCCTAGTATCGGTCGTGGAGTGGCCTACACAGCGGAGCTGATTGGAACCTGCCAGCTACAGGCTGGATTGTGGTTGAAGGCCTCCACAACGGAACACCCAGTGGGACTGTGTTTTGTCTGGCCTGTGGCCAGGGTAGATTCGCCGAGAGAAGCCAAGAGGATTCATCGTGGGCCACGGAGGAAGGAACCAGGGCTACTCAAAGTGCACACCGTGGAGCATTCTGTGTCTTCAGAGGAAGACAACTCCGTATATTTTTTGTGTAGTTATAAACCCCGTGTGATTGTTATTTATTTATATGGTGGTGGTGAAATAATATATATAAATCAGAACATTTGTATCCCTTCCCCCTTTAAGTTAACTTGCGTTGCGGAACACATCCCTTGAAAGCCTCTACTAACTTGGGGCCGGATTCCCAAATTCTAATAACACCAGAAAAGAACCCGGTTACGCCCCAGTAGGGCCGTAACAGGTGACTTGTGGAAGATAACCCCAAGCCCCAAGAGCAGTACTTACAGGGCACTTAGAGAAGGAAACCCTACGTGCATGCAGCCCGAGTACCTGGAAATATTACTCCCAGCTCGCACACCACCGTAAGAGCAGTACTGAATACAAGGCGAGAATCACAGAGACAACACAAGAGAGAATCTGGAGCTGGAGCCACACAACCATGCCACAATCACATCAGCCGAGAACTGGAGGGTGGATTGCTGCCGTGGTGGGTCTGGGGCTCCCCTTTCCTCCTCCCAGGGAGAGGGGAGCTGCGCAGACATGCGGCACAGTTTGTGTTACGTCATGCTCGTTTGCTTGTTTTCATTTGGGGAATTCTGTCCACTCGTTTTCTATTTAGTCGTTTTAACCAGAAAAGGGTTTTTTTTTTAGGCGCTTACCTTTCTGGGTGCCTGGCCCAGTCAATGGCAGACAGAATGCTCCAAATCCCATGTGCATTTCTATAAGCCACTGCTCCTCGTGCCTCTCTGAGGGGGCCAGGTTCTGGCTCGTGGTCTCCGGTAGGACTAGAACTCCATTCACACTGACTGATGCCAAAGTCTTATGATATACATATCAGCCTGGATAGCTTCGGGGAGCCGAAGGGGCTCCTCCCAGAAAAAAAGAGAAAACAAGACTAAGACAACTGTGCTGTCATAGTCATATTCCTGACATAACAAAATAGAAGCTACCTACCTAAAGGTATTTTTTTCCTTAGCCATACGACGAGATACGGTGTGAACATGACGAGGAGGTACAGGAATGTTCACTTCTAGACCCAAAGCATGAAGATGATTCTGGAATATTTTAACAAATTTATAATAAATTGGAAAATAAATAATAATTTAACACATTCATGAATACAGACAGTGGAAATTTCATAGTACACAAGGCACTGAGGGCACATTATTGAAAAACCAGCAATGAATGTAACGAAATGCCATTTCCTGGGCGAGCCCTGAAGACTCCTTGAATCTAACAGACTGAAATACGCTATATTAGTCTGGGGCTTCAGTCAATGAAGTTTTGCCTACCGAAGACCACGAGCCAGAACATGGCCCGCTCCAAGAGGAGCAGGGAGCAATGGCCTTAGGAAAACACCCCCATGTATTTGGGGGTATTCCATCTGCCATCGACCAGGGTTAGGCACCCAGAAAGGTAGGCATCTCAAAACAAACCCCACTTGCTAGAAAACTGAAAAAAAGGGCCAAACAGAAAAACAGAACTCCCCAAAAGAAAAAAGGAAACAAGCTGTGACAGTGTCCCACCCCTATATTTCTCCTAACCCAGCTTAAAGAGTCATATCTCCATAACCTGAGCATTCTCTGATATCCAGGGAACATTTTCATATGTGTGAGAGTATGGAGTGTTATCAGGTTGGCTGAAAAATTGCCATTTAAGTGTGATTATGCAAGGGGCTTACACCCTTTTGGGGCACAAGATGGTGCCGAGCCATTGTTTCCCTCCAAAACGTTGTGACACCTTCCAGCACCTGATTGGCCAGGTGAGGTCACGTGCCGGAAGTAGCCAATGATGAGAGCCCTCGGGTGGTGTGACGTCACGAGACTGAGGGCTTCCGGGGCGGCTGGTGCCTGGGCGGGCAGAATACGTTACGGACCGTCACAGAGTGAGGACGCATTCCCGTGTGCTCCAGATCTTGAGGCCAAAAAGCCCCTACCAGTGGATTTAAGCATCGTTTTAATACTGTAGATATCCCGTGAAGTGCCAGGAAGCAAGGATTGGCCGGGATAAAGAATCAAGAGCTCTATATTCAAGAGTCTGTAGCAGGGATGGACGTTGGGCTGGAGACGTCTGGGACGACCGGCGAACCACGTTCTACATATCAAGCGAGTAGCAACGGCCGGGCCGAATCCACTGGAAATGAGGCAAGGGAAAGCTCCACTGGACTGCAAGTGTGTCTACAGTGCCAGTGAGAGGAGGAGGACCGTACCTGCCGGGTGTGAGTACGGCGAGGACGGGATACTACGAAGACGACTGAGAAACTTGTGTGTGTGGGAACTGATCAATGGAAGACCAGAAGCCAGGACCAGGAACCTCATCATCCCTCGCCAGAGGACAAGTCAGCTTCATAAAGGAATGAAGTAAGGTAGATAGTTATCCCTCCCTTTACCCCTTTGATCTAGGTGAGCTAGGATATTTTATATATCGTGAAAATTTCTTGTTACCATTTATTGTCTATGTGATAGTATTAGGCTAGGAGCCGAGGAGATCATGTAGGCATGAATTGGTGGTGGAACATAAATATGTAGATGCGGCGACGTTAGTGTATCTGGGAATAGTAGTTGGTTTTCAAGAAGCCAGAAACAAACTTTGAATCCTCCAGCTGATTGTGTTGCCAGAAGCGCGAGGTGTGTCCCCGCCGGTTCGACAGTTGGAGCTGTCAGCTGTCTGTGTTGCCAGAGACACAACGAGAGTAGGTTGCCGCCATCAGAAATTTCCGCCTGATTATTTCCCTATACAAGTGTATATATTTTTCTTCAGTAAATTTGTAATCTTACCTATGTGTTTGAGTGAGCCTCCATTCTCTAGGGCTATTTTAACCCTTAAATGGTGCATAGCTATATACCATTTGACACCCACAGGCACATACCAAAAAAAAAAAAAAAAAAAAAAAATTATTTTTTCTTCCTAACCTGTTAATTTGTGTTCACTGATCACGGGAAAAATAATAAAAAAATCATAGGTGGCATATATTGCCCGCTATAAGGCGGGGAATTCTGGCAAAAAATAGGCGCTGACTCAGCATGCGTCCCAGGCGGCCTGTTGATCGCCAGCTGTCAGGCCGGAGTTGCCACAGAGATAATTACCTAATTATTTCAATGTCTCTGATTGATTTTTTGTAGTTTTTTTGCTGTAATATTATTCAATAGTGTGTAGTGTGATATATTTATATAATAAAATGAGTGAATCATCGCTGTACTCATAAATATGGTGTGCATATTGTTGATTCAATTATGTTCATCAAACAGTGAACAAATACTTGTCGGTTATTACACTATATACACAGGTTATATATAAGTATTTGCATGTTTTGTTCACCATAACTGTACATCTAAGCTTGTATGGTGAGCAAAGGCACAAAGACGTAGGACCTCACACAGTCAGCTGATGGCTGCTGCCCTCAAGGCCAGACGCACTAATATTTCTCCTACAACAATACTGTTTGTGGTGTTATTACGCTATATACACACATTATATATAAATATCTACCTGTTTTATTCACCATACTTGTACAAGTAAACTGGTATGGTGCCCAAAGACCATCGTGGTCATCAGTAAACAACATGATAAGTCCTGCAGACGACGCTCCTCCCTCACCAAAATGGCGGCTCCCAACCTACTCCTCTCGCTGTTTATACCCTCTTTACACACGTTATATATAAGTATCTACATTTGCGTTCACCATAGCGAACCACTAAGCTGGTGTGGTGAGTGCAGTCAATAAAAGGTGGCCACACACAGTCAGAAGACATCGCCATCATCCTCCCTCCCACAGCATTACTCCTCCCTCCATGGCGCACAGCGCTAAATATCACCACAATCCTGCTATTATCAGAACCCTGGTCAGTTTTATCACAGTCAGGGGTCTTCTGTAATAATATCATTGCTACATAATAGCATGAACAAGAATATTATGGCATTTTTAGGGGATGCTGTGGTCACAAGCTGAACAGAAGTGCTGTGAGTTCATGCTGCGTGCGTCAGGCTTGATTGCTCACTCAATACTGAGGCCCCTAACACCCTGGAGTTTGGCCCACAATTTAAAAAAAAAATGGCGTCTGTTTACAAGAGCCCTGATGGAGGTGTGGTGAACCCCGTGTATCCGCGGGCCGTTTAAATCTTGCGTAGTACTCCAAAGCATCACATGATGCGATGCGCAATTTACTGCAAGTCGGTCAAAGCATCATATGATGCGATGCACAATTGAAGGGTTAAGTGAAACCATTTATGTCAACTTGCACTGCACATGAGATTGCATCCTTAAATTAAGATAACTAATGAGACCACTGACGTGTTGCTGGGACACGAGTATAAACACCCAGCTGGCGACCTGAGCAGACCAGATACCTAAGAGAGTGTGTCCCAGTGTCAAGACAGGCAGGTTCAGGCGTGTCACAGGTAGACTTGAACCTCTCCACTCGCAAGGAGTATATATATGGCCAGCCCTTAGTTGACTGGAGGTGCCCCAGGGCGAGCAGTGGCGCCTGGTACTGAGGGGCGAAGACCCGTGGGACGACCCCAACCATAGGTAGGAAAGGGGTGAACCTTGACACAAGCAAACAAGCAAACATCATTCACTGCCATTGTGCCACTTGTCCGTGCAGTTCCCTCCCCCGCCCCCAAGAAGGGGAGAGGGGTACCCCGTACCCCCTCATGCAGGCTGCATACACTTTAGTTCGAAGGCTGATCATCAAAACAAAACAAAACTGCCGACTGGAGGGAGGGAGGGTGCCAGGGAGCCTCTGGGGCTCACCCAGTAAATGGCATTTCATTACATTCAACGCTGGTTTTCTGTGGGAAGCCCTGTTGGCTTCCAGGAGATACATAACCAAAGATAAGTAAAAATGGGACTTACCTGGGAGGCGGCCTGCACTGTGTACCTCAACTCAAAGATGAGACAACTGGCTGCAACCTGCGACCCAAGGCAACACATGAATGACTGGGACCAGGAACTTTAAGGAAATAACAGGTGGCCAGGACCCTGTTCGACCTTCAAAACCCCTGTGTCTGAATGTCAGCCCAAGACATGTTCCCAACACAGCAGCCAGAGCAGCATACTTACGAACATCATGGGCACGAGGGTAGACAGCAGGCTGATTAGACTTAATAACCCTTCAGATGACCTGAGAGATCCAAGCCCTGGAACAGGGAACGAGGGAAATCGGATCAACCCAAAGCGTGTCCACAGCCACAGAAGCCGAGGCGCACAGGTAACAGCGCAGAGCCGCAACTGGACACAACGTGTGATGCACCCCCGGCCAAACTAACCAAGCATCAATAACCCAAGGGACCCTCCGGAAGCCTGCCATCTCGATTGTCACCAGAAAAGAAGGAAACGGATGCAACCGAACAAAACATCCACCAGGACCGAAAGAGCAGAAACCTGTGCGCCCGAGAAAAACATGAAGCTCACCAACCTGACCCCCAGAGGCCAATGCCAACAGAAACAATGCCTTCCGAAAGCAATCATGAACCGAAGGGGCCACCACAAACTGAGGAAAAGAAAGAAAAGAGAGCACCCGGTCCAAGGACCAGGACAGCTCAGGTGGCACATGAGCAGGCCGGAGGAGAAGCAAAGCATGAGAAAGCTTAGGGAATGGGGCGGAAGTGACATCCACCCTGAACTCAAGCTGAAGCGACTCCACCAGTGCTGCACAATAAGAGGACAGCGCTGCACGATAAGTGGTGACAATATTAGGCATAAGATGACGGTCCTCAAAGAGCCAAGAAAGAAAGGACAAGACAAGCTGAACAGAATTAGAAGACAACCCATGAAGAGAGTGGAAAAGGCGAAAAGAACGCCAAGAGACACCATACTGTCGCCAAGACGAAGACTGCAGGTGGGACCCCTTCAATGAAGCGACCTGATCACCAAACAAGTGGTGATACACCAGCATCAAAAGGACCAGACACTGGTCCTGTTATGTTTCTGATTTATTCAAGTAATTTAAATGAGCACAAATAGAGTAAGTAAATAATTATCAAAAGAAGGCACAAAGCCAGGAAGACAAAATGAATTAAATGATTCACTCTTGATCGAACCAACTAAGAATTAATAATGAAAAGACCTTTTCGCGAGCCCATCGACTCATTCTTTCTAGCAAAGAATGAGAGGGCTGCAAACGAATATAATGCCCACCAGGGCCAAAGGATCAAAACCTTTATCTCCAGAGAAGAGAGTGACACTCCCCAACCCTCAAACTGGAGGTGAAAGCCAACACAACACTAATGTGAGAAAGAAACCAGGACCAAAGCGGAAGCAGTGAACTGGAAAGAGGACAGAGACGCCAGGATGTGCTTGAGAAACCTGGATGACTCAGGAGAAGCATGAGCAGGCTGGAAGGAAAACAAAGCCTGAAACTACTTGGGGAATGGCATTAAGGCAGTATCAATGGCATTAAGGCAGTATCAATGGCATTAAGGCAGCATCAATGGCATCGAGGCAGTATCAGTATCATTGAGGCAATATCAGTGGCATCGAGGCAGTATCAGTGGCATCAAGGCAGTATCAGTAGCATAGAGGCAGTATCAATGGCATGGAGGCAGTATCAATGGCATCGAGGCAGTATCAATGGCATCGAGGCAGTATCCATGGCATGAAGGCAGTATCAGTGGCATGGAGGCAGTATCAATGGCATGGAGGCAGTATCAGTAGCATAGAAGCAGTATCAATGGCATGGAGGCAGTATCAATGGCATGGAGGCAGTATCCATGGCATGAAGGCAGTATTAATGGCATGGAGGCAGTATCCATGGTATGAAGGCAGTATCAATGGCATGGAGGCAGTATCCATGGCATGAAGGCAGTATCCATGGCATGGAGGCAGTATCAATGGCATGGAGGCAGTATCAATGGCATGGAGGCAGTATCCATGGCATGAAGGCAGTATTGATGGCATGAAGGCAGTATCAGTGGCATGAAGGCAGTATCAGTGGCATGGAGGCAGTATCAGTGGCATGGAGGCAGTATCAATGGCATGGAGGCAGTATCCATGGCATGGAGGCAGTATCCATGGCATGAAGGCAGTATCAATGGCATGAAGGCAGTATCAGTGGCATGAAGGCAGTATCAGTGGCATGGAGGCAGTATCAGTGGCATGGAGGCAGTATCAATGGCATGGAGGCAGTATCAATGGCATCGAGGTAGTATCAATGGCATCGAGGCAGTATCAATGGCATCGAGGCAGTATCAATGGCATCGAGGCAGTATCAATGGCATCGAGGCAGTATCAATGGCATCGAGGCAGTATCAATGGCATCGAGGCAGTATCAATGGCATCGAGGCAGTATCAATGGCATCGAGGCAGTATCAATGGCATCGAGGCAGAATCAATGGCATCGATTCAGTATCAAAGCTAAACACAAGCAAAAGTGGCTCTGCCAATGCCCAATTATGAAAGGCAACAGTATGAGGCAGGAGATGTCCATAAAGAAATGACCAAGAGAAAAAGGAAAGCACAACCTAAACAGAGAGAGGAGAATGATGATGGAGGAATAGTACGAGGTGGAAACAAACACAAAGCAACATCCTACTGCTGCCTTGAGGACAAATGCAGGTGGGACACCCTTAACCCAGCCACTTGCTTGTCACTGCAATGGTGATAGAGATGCATCAAAAGGTCTAGACACAAAAAGCCAAGGAGATGTTCAAACCAGTAAGGTATGTCACTGGAACAATCTTCCAAAAGAGGTGGAAAAATGCTCGGGGTTCGAAGACCCAGCAAGACGAACTGAAACCAAGAACCAGAAGGACCACCTCTCCATTGTAAAACTCCAATCTGGCCAAAATCTGGAGCAATAGCTGAAATGGGGAAGAGAAGCAAAGGAACTCCCCCCCCCACCTCGACCAGTCCAGCTGACAGACATTTACCATGAGCTTTGCAATCGGAAAACAGGGCCACACATGAGGGAAGGTGCCGATCCCATACCAATGCAAAGAGATCCACATCGGGGTACCAGACCGTCTCACAAGGCTACGGGAAGGATGTCATCGATGAGCCTCTTCAAAAAGACGGGATGGAACAAGAGAGCCTGTCTGCAAGATAGTTCTAGGCCTGGTCAGAGACTGGGCAGTGGGGATATTGATCCTCAGAATCACCGCAGCGTAACCTAGAACATGAAAGGTGTGGAAAACCAAACCAAAAAAAAACAAAAGATGAGCTTCATGTAGCATCCAATTCAAAAGAGGGATGGATTGAAGAGATCCCCCTCTGTCCAAAGACTGAACCACTGGGGAGCAGTCGGAATGAACCCGGATCACAGAACTTGGAGGAATTCAAATCCTCCTCTGGGCGTGCCATATGGCCACAAACTCGTGCACCATACAATGTGCTTCACAGAGCAATCCTGATCAACAAAACTGGGTGGAAAGGAGTGCAGAACATCAAGCCCCCCCAGTCCAGCGGTTATGCATCCATAAATATGCCAACCAATGGTGGAAGATGGCAGTACAGAACTTAATAAAAAAAAAAAACTGTAGACGAAGCTGGCAAAGCAACAGTCAACAATGGGCAGACAGGTCCCAAAACCAGATAGGGTTGGTGGCAGTAAAATGCCCAGAGCTATATTCTGCCAAGTGGGTAAAACCTCACAGATAAAGTACACGCACCTCCACCCACATCCCTGAATACCTTCTCCAGTGGTTGTTGTGGCTGAATAATTTGCTAAGCCATTTGGCTGCTTCAATGCTTCATTTCCTATGAAATGAAGCATGAAATGAAAGCTTAAATGTCTTTAAGCTTTCTTGACATTCGGGACGCTTTCCCAGTGAGGGGGGTGACAATAATAATTGCCTGCCACTTGTGCATCTATATGGGGACCAGGTTCTAGCTCTGGTCTCCAGCAGGCTAAACAGGACACCTGTGCCTGATATGACCAACTAGTAGGTCATATTATATAGGTAAAGAGAGCTACCAAGGGGCTCCTCCCAGAAAATTATATTATAAGACTAAGCATGATGAGCCTGTGTTCAGGCTCATCATTTTGTTCTAAATGAACACTGGAGTAGGAAGGTGGTTGTGAAAGTGAAGGTTCCGCATCACCAGCAGGAAGAGATGACTCAATTGCCTCTGCTGTCAAAGTGGATGGGGCCATCCCTGAATAAGAATGAGGTACATCCTAAGTTAAACCCTGCCATGAATCTGAAACCCTCAGATGCTTCGGAGAAGAAACTGGGGAAAGGGGTGGGGGCAGAAGACCAGAAGCAGGGTGAACCATACCTGCAAGGGAGGGAAGAGATGTTGTGGACTTAGCCCAGGTGGAGTTCACCAACACATCCAATTCTGGGTCCCTGAACAGCATAGGAGCCAACTCCGGGGCATCCAAACAAGCATCACATCTCGAACCCCAAATGTGGAAAATCTCACCTGTAAAGTGCCAGCTGCCTGATTATCTTTCTGACGAGAAGCAAGTTTAGAATAGAATTAACCCAACAGACAGCTTGGTGGAAACAGAAAGAATTCCTGTCAGCCAGGAGCAGGACCAACCAGCACCCTTTAAATTCGGAAGTAGTGAGTGTAGCCTCAATGGTCTATCCATCACAAGCCACTCCGTAGACATGCAGGCAAATTACCAAGACCTGAAAGTAACTAGCCAAGCAGGACACCCAGGCACTAGGGATACTACACATACACATGAAGCAAATACTAAAATAAAGTAATAAAACACAAGCAAATGGCCTCCGCAGGACAAAGTCTGAAGGTTGGCTAGGACTTAACTGCGAAGTAGTGGAACCCACTGTGAAGGATTGAGACCTAGGAGCACACTACAGTGATCGATCATCCACATCAGCAACAGGACTTACTCTGGAGCCAGCTGTTGGACACGGGGCTCTGGGTTGCCTGGTGGCAGTCATAATTTGCACAACAGGTTTGAGCTAGTTTCAAATGAACAAATTGTTTTAAAGTAATAATTTGCAGTGTTGCTTAGCCATTTTGGTGTCTTATTTTTTATGAACCTTGCAGTTGGCTGTAAAGCTTCACTGACTTTTTGGATGCTTTCCCAATGAGGGTGATGTTAGGTCACTCGCTCACAGCGCCTCTGTGAAGGTGCAGTGAGCGGGCGACTGGGTCCTGGCTCACGTCTCCAGTAGGCTAAACAGGACTCCTGAAACTGATGTGACTCAGTAGTGAGGGAGCTATCTCAGCAAGATAGTTTCAGGGAGCTACCAAGGGGCTCCTTCCAAAAGAGAATCAGGATTCCAATTACTGAACATCATCATCATTAACTGAGTGACTGTAAATACAGGTCATTCAGCGCACTAGAATGTCTCGTATCTAAAATTGTTACAGGCTATGCATACCTCTCTGTCTGAGCTGGTTTTAGTAGTATTGGATGTTGTTTCCAATGTTTCAGTGGTATCAAAGGATCGATCGGTGAAAGACACACCTTCACGTGAGCTTGGTGACCCCGAGCGAGGTGATGACCTCCCACGCCCTGACCTGCAACAATATACTTTTTGTTAGTTAATGTATTTAAACAAACCAATACAGTTCAAGGTAAGGTGATTATAAAGAGAAAGTGTAAAGCAAGGATAATTATATACCTTAAATAAATAAATAAATAAATATAAATATGTTTATTCAGGTAAGGTACATACATACAAGTGATGTTACATTAATGGATTGATATATAGGTAGAGCTAGTACATACAATGCCTAAAGCCACTATTACGCAATGCGTTTCGGGCAAGAAAAACATTAATATCTAGAACTTAATACTAATTGAGCATAAAGAATAAAAAGTGTTGAGAACAAATACAAATAAAGATAAAAAAAAAGGGGGAACATGACTGAAAAGGCAGCACAAATACAATAGGTTGACAAACAGTGTTGATTAAAAAAAATAACAGACATGGGTTGACAATAGAGGAGTGAGGTAGGTTACAGGGAATTTATTAGGTAGTGTTTAGTTTTTATCTTAAACTGGTTGAGAGAGGTACAGTCTTTAACATGGTT